CCCCAAAACCCCAAAACCCCAAAACCCCAAAACCCCAAAACTTAGAAAATTAATTGAAATTAATTATGAAATTATCTTATTCCTATTACTTTTTCTTCTTCTTGGGCTCAGATTTTTCTACAACTTGGCTCGCCTCTTTGACTGCCTTCAATGCTTCCCTTAAGCCTTGACTACCTTTATGCGGGTCTTTCTTTGGCATTAATGATTTGACTTCTGGAATGTCCTTTATTAAGTTTTGAAGCTGATTCTGAGGAACGCTTCTCTTAATATGAGCTTCGAGGTAATACCATCCAGATTTTTGATACATTTGAACAACTATCTTCTTAGCATTGTTTCTTAAGTCTTTGTTAGGATGAGCCAGTTTACTAATAGAGTACTCAAGTATCTCACTCAGGGGGAATTGCTTCTTTGAAGGAAATTCTTCTGATTTTTCGATCATAAAGTTCATTAACTCTAATCTTGCTAATATATGAACATCTGACGTAATGAATCTTTTGTTCTTGTATGATCTTTCACTTAATATGAAAGAAGAGATTTGATTGAAATCGAAAAATCCCCCAGTAAGCACTTTATCCTTTATAATATCAAGTTCTCTTTTATCCAAGACTTCCATTATCATCTGAGAGACTTTACTTGAATCAAACTTTAACTCAAAGCCAGCACTTTTTGACACAGCTAGTAACTCTTCAAAAAGCTTCATAGAGAGTTCTGAGAGCTGACTTAATTTTTCTTTTCAAGATGAAAAGAATATATTAATAGCATGCTCTTGAGCAGCAATTCCATGCTCCTTTAGACTAGAGGGCATCTGGCCAATAAACGACTCCAAGCCTTTCTTTCTGTTCTGCCATTTCTTGGAATGGAGTAATTTGAGAGTATCTTCATCATAATATTGTTTCATTATGTCTATTTTAGATTTATCTTGAGCATTCAATTTTTCTTCTTCAGTTTCTCCTCCTTTTTGAGAATCTTCTTTGTCATCCTTAATCTTATTGAAATCAATTGGATCCTTATTATGCATTGGAATGACAGTTTCATCGAATTGTTGTCTTGATAAGGTGTCATCAGGTCCAAATTCTTCTTGAGGATACTCACTTTGTACATAAGCTTGGTTACTCATAGAGTGCTGAGTGGGAACTCTTTGAGGATTTATCTGTCTAGAATCAGGTCTCATTTGCACCATATCATGATCCATAGGTTGTGGGGGCCTCATATTTCCAATGGATTCATCATAAGTATTATTGACTTTGAAGTTATGGTTCATGAATGTAGATGGTTCTGATTTTTCAAAGTTTACGTTAACTCTCTTTAAATCAGATTCTATTTGAGAAATTGATTGCAAGAGCTGAAAACTAGGATTAGTCCTATCTTCTGAAGAAACTCTGCCTTCAGACGTTGGTGTTCTTATACTTCCTCTGCTAGATAATGCAGATCCTCTCATCGAAGGAAGAGTTGAAATTGACATTAAATTCTTCTTAACTTTATCTAACTCGGCCTTAATTATTTTAGCAGACTCATAATCTTCGTTATCTATTGCTTGAAATTTGTTAAACTCTAACTCTTTAGCTAATTTAGATAGTTTCACTGTTTTGTCGATAACTTTCTTTAGTTTCTTGGCTTTATCCATATCATTTGAAATTTTTGCGTTATTTCATTTCATTATTAAGAACCTTCATCTTATCCCCAATCATATCATTCAAAAGCCGACTCTGCCGAGACATAAATCCGGACTGTGAGAAGTACATATTACCACTATTCTCCTGTGGAGTATGCAGATTACGCTCAATAGGTTGGAGATAGCCTGAAACTTTTCCTAAAGGATCAACTGTTTTTAGATTTTCGACATAATCTCCTTCATATCCGATGAAATCTCCATATACAGTGAGAGACATTAGAGCAACTTGGGAAAACAAATTTTTGGTATTTGCATGGGCTTTATACAAGATTAATTTCAAATATTTTCAATCAACTTCAACATAGACTGACTTTAACTCCCTTGATCTATATTGAGTTGAATGATTATCTTGTAGCTTAAACGATCCTAGTCTCATGCTTTTCTCTCCTCCTTTAGTAATAGCCACTAATTCTATCTCACTTGGTATTTTATATTCATGGCATAAGAACTGCACTAGTCTAACTCTGACTGTACTTGGAAATTGAATCAAGATTATCTGAGGATTGCTTCAGAATCTCTGGCTCTGCCAACCTTTGCAATATTTATCGGAAGACATCAGTTCAGTTCCTGGGAAATTATCGTCCTCACTAGATATCTTAAAAATAGAATATGTCAACTTCTTTCCTGTCTTTTGAGGTTTAGACATTATGAATTTAAAAATATACTATTTCAATTCTTAACATAATTTTAGGGGTTTTGGGGTTTTGGGGTTTTGGGGTTTTGGG